GTTCCCAAGAGGTTTGGGTAAATAGTAAAGCATTAAGAAATGAAGAAAACATGCGGAAACCTGCCCCAACCAACATCTGAATTTCTTTAAAAAAAAAAAAAAAACAGTGACAATGACAAATGCCATATTAATACCTAAAAAGCAAATTATTTTAATACATCCTGAATGGAGTGTCATTATCATATCCTTTACAGTCTTCTTTTTCCCAGACACATTTGGGATGGTGTCTGAAAAGCCACTTTTCACATTCTCTCCATAAAAAATACTAGAAAATGTTAAGTGCTATACTGAAAAGAGACCACGCTCACCTTGTCATGGCAAATGGCCACTGAGACACACCGTGTACTACAGGGACAGCACATCTCACAAAAGGCGGGTCCTCCGATGGATTATTTCAACTGACACAATCCACTGAGGAGAGAAGGAGAATGGACCAGAAAACAAGCGCTTCATTTTATAACCGAAGCAAGGCAGGAAGTTTTATTTCACTATAAATAGCCCAACCGTTAAATGTCTTCTGTAAGCAAACTTACTTTTGAGCTCATTTTTCTGTCTGACCAACAGTCTTCAAAAATGGAAATCTCTCTTGCCACAAAGTCTGCGTTTCCATGCTGTTACCCTACCTTAGCAGCCCCTGTGGTGACTGAACTTGTGAAGCTGGAGTCTCTCTAAAGCACTGGGGGCGATTCAAGGTGGTTGTCACCTCTCCTCTCTCTCTAGAAGTTCTTCCTCCCTGACATCCTTCACAGTCCCCTCTTTCATTGTCTACCTGCTTTCTGTTTTCTGATTTCCTCATTCCTTATCCATGTGGAATGTCTACCACTTCCAGACCACCCTCAACCCCCAGCATCAACCCTCTATGTCCTTCAGTGCCAAACACTGAAGCTCATTTGCTACGAGGACAAACGGTTGTCAGGCTAAGGCAGCAGCTCTGTCTGCCTGGGAAAAAGAAAGTAGAAAATACAATCCAGGAAACAAGAGCACCAGAAAATAATGCCACATTCAAAACAATGTCATGCTGACAGCACGCAACGGCACCAATCATAGTCACTTTGATTTCCCCCAAGGGATAGATCAACATTAAGCAACTTCAAGATTCCCAGCAGGGATGGCATTTCTCACAGAACTGGACTGACACTGGTTGTTTTCTCTAATCAGCAAAAGTTACATTTGCAATAATAATAATAATAAAAAAAAAGACTACTTACTTTGTAAAGAATAAATTCTACCGAGGGTGGGAGCAGATTTAGGAATGGCTCCTTAAGATGGACTAGAGCACAAAATGCTTTGGGTAGAACAGGTTAATTTTTTTTTTTTCAGCCACTAAAAGCCAAATTGAATATATTCCTTTGAAAAAGGTCTCACTGACATGTAACAAATTTGTATAGGAAGAAAAATAAAATAAAACGAAACAAAATAAAACAAAAAACCCAGGTGGTCCTGGGCCACCTTTTACTATCACTCAAAGATAAAGGTGGACATGCATGCAAGTCCCCACTGAGTCCTACGATATAGAAATTTTTTAGATATTACAAAATACAAAAATATTTTATCAGAACTCTCATTTACAATGCATTTACAGTGGACATGTAAATAACTTAGTCTAGGGTCCTGGCTAATAAACAAAGTATTTACTGGAAAAGGGTTCTACAAGGAAGGAGAATCAGAAAGGATGTAAGTGAGCAGTTTACAATGTGCCATCTGGTGAGTGGCCACTCCAACCCTGGAAGGACATGACCAACCCTGGCTTCCACAGAGCCTACTGTGTTTCCAAAGTGAAATATGCAAATAATATGCAACATGCCAAAAACTGTGACTACCAAGTGTACCTACCAAGTCAACCTGCAGCTTTGCCACTGAGCATGTCTGTTTCTCCCCCATGAACCTCCCCCAAGAGCGCTTGAAAATTGAAAACAGTGCAAGTTTTTGAATTTACATTCTTAGCTCCCATCTTCCCCCATTCCCTGACCCCAATCCTATTACGAAATGATACAGTTTTTGCTCTTCTGTCTCTTTCGGCTGTGCAGCTGTCCTCTGCCTCCTAACGTGGAGGATTTGGGGACGCCGTACGAGCTGTACTTGTGCAGTAGCTCATCGCTAGTGACGTATCGCAGGCGCGCTGGCTGGGGGATGGGCTCTCCTAAGAAGTAACCCTCGTTGTCAGACTCCGACGAGGAGGAGCAGGTGGAGCACCAATCATACTCCGTGAAGTAGGGTCCCCATCGCTCTCCAAAGGCATTCTGCAATGCCAGGTCTGACACAGTCCTGGGGCACTGGCCGTACAGGTCCCTTCGAGACCCCTGGCCCAGGCTCTCCTGGAAGCTCCGTTGGCGCATGAACTGGTCGTAGTCCTCCCTGGCTCTCAGAGGTGGCCTTTCTTTTAAACGAGCAATGGCCTCGCGCTCGCTGGCCAGGTGCAGGGCGTTGTCTGAGCGTGAGCGGCGGGACCTACGGGACCGATGAGGGCGGAAGCGGCGGTTGTCATCCCTGGAAGTAGTTCTTCTTCTGGTGCGCTCGCTCATAGGCTGGATGCGCACACCTTCCTGCCCCGGCAGCTTGCTGCCCGCCATGCCCCCATCAAAATCAAAGCTCTGGTGCATCCTTCCATGGGACTGCAGGTCCCTGTACCCCAAGGGGGCACCCAGCTGATGGAGGTTCCCCTCCATCTCCTGGTACTGTTGTGCGGACAGCAAGCTGCGCACAGACTCTGCGCTCCTGAACTGCATGGAGGAGTTGAGAGTGCCCATGTTGCTCAGCTTTTCTGAGACATTCATTCCAGAGTCTTTGCTGAGGTCAGGCATGGAAAACCGGGATAGGTGCTCCTGGCGTTTGGCACCACCTTCAGTAGACAGACCTGGGGTAGGAGTAGAAGAGCAGAGGGCAGCTGGAGTTAACACAAATGCACTGCAAGGTGGGGGTGCCGCTATTATTGTCACAGCCCAGCATCTATTCAAGGTGTGGGGTAAAGTATGGCTGTGCAACATGAAGACTCTCTGATAAAGGGGCACACAGAGAGGATATCAAATTAAACTGCATCTACAGCATCTTCCTAATTACTAATTTCTCCAAAAACTTATGAGTTACTAAGAATCTACTGTGCATCCTCTGTAGGATGTTTCCTTTATTTAGAATTTCACTTTAATTACACCTTTGACTCAAGCCATGCACGATAAGCTCTGTAGGACAGATAATTTTGGATAGAGATTTTTAAGCTACAGTGACTGGGCTAGGCCTAAGCTGTTTCTGGCCACGCCAAGCCTAGAATCTAATTCTATAGTACTGTACTAGTTTGCTTCTTTGTAGCTTGAGACAGTTTCCTGCTTGGCCTGTGTCCCTAAGTGGCAGGTAGCTCTTCCTCTCAAATGGCTTGGAAACTAAGTGACTCCCTAGGTGGAGATAAAGGGGTATGTTTATTCTTTTGGCTTGTTTAGTGAATGACTGCTCTAGGCTTATAAATGAGTCCCTAGCAGTCAGATGTGAGTGGCACCCTGGGACATTCCTCTATACCCTGGGAAGGCATTTTAAAAGTAAAGCAGTGACACTAATCACTCTCTAAAAGCAGGTACCCAAGTAATGGCCTTCAATTCCAAAGTGCTGCTGCACAAGCTTCTGGCAGGGCTGCGATGGAAACTATTCTGAGGGCAGTGGGAGACGTGGACTTTAGGAGCTTGTTTTTGCTTATCTTAAAGCAGTACTCTAAGGGGATACTAAAGAATGCATTTACTCATAGCCTTGGCATTTCCCACTTATTAAAATGGAAATAGTTGGCCATGTTGCCATATCCCATCACTGACCTTTGGACTGCAATAAGCCATGATCACCGTCACTGATTATCCTGACCTCCTACTGGGGTCTATACTTCCTCTCCCTGACAGACCTAAATCAATGTTGCAAGCACTTTGAAACACTACTTGGTGATACCTAAAGGTAAGTACATGCATCTAAACATACATGAATCATGAATAAGACCATTTTGTGGGGGCTCCTGTTATCATTTATGTTTTATGTATAAACCCAGTGGAAAGGCCTCGATTTTCCATTTCTATGCCTGGTTATACATCCAGCATAAGTTAACACATATCTTCCAAAACACACAGAGACAGTCAGACAGAGGGGATTTCTTATAATAGCCAGGAACTGTAATTTAAATGCCAATTAACATAAGAATGGATAAATTGTGGGGGTTTTGTTGTTGTTACTCATTAAAAGTTACCCAGGCTTTTTGGAGAAAGGGATTTCAAGATAGAGGAAAGAAAAGCAAAAAGATGAACCTAGATCACCTTATCATATAAAAAAAGAAATGTTAAAAAATAAAATATAAATAGGTTAATAAAAACAAAACAAAAAAAACCAAAAACAAAAAAAACCCCCAAAACCAGCCAAGGTTATGGATTGGATGAAGGCACATTCAAATGGTTCGGAAATGTGTGTGTGTGTGTGTGTGTGTGTGTGTGTGTGCGTGCGTGTGTGTGCGTGTGTGTGTGTGTATGTGTGCGTGCATGTGTGTGTGTGCGTGTGTGTGCGTGTGTGTGAGTGTGTGTGCGTGATATAACTAACAGGTAAAAAGTCTCCTAGGTCCTGATGTCTCCCATCGGAACACAAACTGTTAGTAGTTGCGTGCGTGTGTGTGCGTGTGTGTGTGTGTATGAACACAAAAGAAAGCGAGCAAAATGTTAGCAACAGGTGAATAAAGTAAAAAATATATTATATAGGTGGCATGTGTTCTATTTCTGCTTTTTAATGAACCTGAAATTATTTCATTAAAGATACAGTATATTCATCTGATGTAGTCATTTTCAATTGTAGATAAATTCTGAAAATATATGGAGATGATTTTGGTCATCATGATTGGGGGGAGTGCTATTGCAAACTGTAGGCCGAGGTTGCGGATGTTATAAAACATCAGTGTACTACCTGTGAGAATCATCCAGTGCACTGACAACATCTACCTGTGAGAATCGCCCAGTGCACTGACATCATCTACCTGTGAGAATCACCCAGTGCACTGACAACATCTACCTGTGAGAATTGCCCAGTGCACTCAACAGCATCCTACCTGTGAGAATCACACAGCACAATGGACAGCACCCTACCTGTGAGAATCACCCAGTGCATTGGACAACACCCTGCATGTGAGAATCACCCAGTGCACTGGACAGCACCCTACCTGTGAGAATCACACAGCACACTGAACAGAACTCTACCTGTGAGAATCACCCAGTGTACTGGACAACACTCTATGTGTGAGAATCATCCAGTGCACTGGACAACACCCTATCTGTGAGAATTACCCAGTGCACTGAACAGCAACCTACCTGTGAGAATCACCCGGTCCCCAAAGTCAATAGTACTGCGGATGAGCAATCTTGACACAATGGAATATTATGCAATAATAAGAATCTGTAACTATACCCAACAATATGGCTGAATCACACAGAAAATGCAGAGGGACACCAGGACAGTTTGTGCTGCATGACTCCATTTATATGAAGTTCAAGAAGAAGCTGAGACTAGTTTATGGTGACAGAAGTCAGGGGAAGGACACAAGTGAGGAGCTTCTAGATGCTGAAACTGCCACATCACTAAGCTTGGATGGAGATTAAAAGAGGATATGCAGATGCAAAAGCTAACAGAGGTGTAATTTTAATATTTGGTTGCTTCATTTTATGCAAATTATACCTCAATAAAGCAATCTGTGAAAAGTCAAATTTTAACACTGGAAATGTGTATAGATAGACTACAGAGGCCTCTATTTCATGGGGAATTGGTTCTGAGATATTAAAATCTACAGGTGCTCAAGTCTCTCTTCAAAGGGTGCATTTCCATATAACCTACATACTCCCCATACACTTTAAATCACCTTTCATTACTTACAATACTTAAAATAATGTAAATTCTACCTAAGTAGTGGCCACACTGCACTGATAAAAGGCTAACAAGGCTCCATACAGAGGCAGCCATCATGCCTGACTGAATTTTCCATCAGGGGCTATTTGAACCTATAGATGTGAAACTCATATGGAGGACCAACTGTATTCTGTCAAGTATTGCACTCTCCAGTAATTTTTAAAAATTATTTTATTACTAGGACAACTGGGCACTTACTTCCAAGTTCTACTTTCCTTGCTGCTTAACTTTGGCATATTAATCATAAAAGCTGATTTATAAACATCTAATCACTTTCAGAGCCTCCTCTAGCTGAAGGTGTAGAGGAGACCCTAACAGGGTAAGACAATGAATACATAACACTGAATAAACTCTCCTGAGAAAGGAAAAGAAAATCTTCTGAATCATATCTAGAAGCAAAAACTACCTAGGTAGACACCAGGATCTTTATAGGACTTCCTGCATTTAGTGGAATTAAATTTAGCCTCAACAGCTTAGCAAATACTATTAATTCCTATGGAGGCTGTTTTCCTGTACCATGCTGGCAGGAAACATTTCTAAGACGGATGTGAGCAGATTTCTAGCTCCACGTGGCCATAAAGGCAAAGGAAAGCTGATTCCATCCTGCTCAAGTGGGTGAGTGGAGAGATGGTACATCTTGGATTGTACTTCTGCAACCTCACGTGTCCAAGGCACCCTCTGGATCTTCCACACCATTCCCATGAGAAGAAAAGTGCTGTGCCAAGGCAGAAGATGCCCATGTTCAAGCCCAGTGTCCATTAGCAGCTCTGTCAAAACACCCCCTCCCCCCGTGGGGGATGTGTGATGAAATTGCTTGCCCTACCTGCTGCTCTGATGAGAAGCATCTCCTGTGATTCAGTGACTCACATTTTCCTCTAGGGTCTTCTTGCATGCAAGGGCAGCCCAAAGGAGAGCAATGAGTATGTACTTGCCTCTAAAGAGGGTGGTTCTGTGGTTAGTTTATTGGCAAATCCAGGGTTTTTAATGCAGACCTCAAGGCCCTACGTGACTTGGCTCCCCCTCTATGTGTACCATCATCTTCATCTCAACACTTCTTACTCTTCCTCAGCTGTGCCTTTGTCCTCCTCCTCCTTTAACATGCCAATATGCTCCTGCCTCCCTGCAAAACTCTCCTCTGCATGGCTACCTCCTGGTCATTCAAGTTTCCATGTAGATGTCAGCTCTTCAGTGTTCCTGGGCCACTCCTTTTAAGTAGTAAAGATGGTGATCTCCTGGTCAGTCCACTACTCTTACACTTGACTTTTAGTTAAGCTGCCCACCCTGTCTCATTTCCTGAAGATTGTGTGTAAATTTGTGGCTGAAATGGGTCTGCATAGGAGTAGCAATTGTGTCCTGTGCTCCCTGCACTCTCACAGAACTCTGTGGGTACTCAATACATATGTACAGAATAAAGGCAAATGAATATCCATGATGCCTTCAGCTTGGGCAGAGCAATCACCCTCTGACCTGAAGTGGGTCAGGGGCTTCAATTCCAAAAAATAAGATTCTAAACACCAGGAACAAAATACTGCAATCAACACTTTGTCAATCTTGTGGTCTTTGGCAGATCATTAGCTAGTGCAGAACTGAGGCTTCTTCAGTTTTAAAGCTGAAGAAGATATGATTTATAATTAGCTTCCTGAACTGCAAAAATGTTTTTATGTGATTGATCAAAGCTCTGGAGGTTGGTTTAAATTAGCAGTTCTCACGTTCCCAAGACAGAATTATACTCTTACAGCTAATACTCCAACCTCAGAAGCATTCCTTCCCTCTCCAGTTATGCATAGCAGGGCAGCCAGCCCCTGGTTGAGTAACTGGGGCTTTTTTAAACCCCTGAAGCTGCAACATTAAAATGGGCATAATGATAATACCTGGGAGTGGAAGCCCCAGGGATGCTCAGAGGAGCTAGAGGAGAGTGCACTTTCCTGTTTAAGATACATCACAATA